TTCTTTTTTTTTTTTTTTTTTTTTTTTTTTTTTTTGAGAGAGAGATTTTGCATAGGGCGTGTGCATTGTGCATTCACCACAGAGACAGAGAGAGACAGAGGAACAAAAAGTGAGAAATCACCCCCTGGGGAGGTGGCCACACTGTAATCCCTTTTCCTCCGTTCTTTTCTCGGGATCTCGGACACACAGCACATACACCCAGCCAAAGTTTTAAGTCTCTGGGCCCAGGACTTGAGCTGCAGTTGGCCATGTGAGAGCCCAGGGACGTAACCAATATGCCATCTGCTGGTCCCCTGTCTAGTTTTCTTAATTAACTAAAAATTCCAGAATGATTTTGGATAATGGCAGCGATGCCCAGCAGTTCTGCCTTGTTCTGATTTAAGGAAGGCACTTTGAGGCTGAGAGTTTGAAACAAAGTTGTCTGTGCAGTGTTTAGTGGCTTCCTTGGCCTTTGTTAGTGCATGGTACGATTCTTCTTGGCAAATCTGCTGATTGGATGATTTAGAATGACAGAGTTCCTCACATGTTTGGAACTGATGCTACTAGATGAGTATGTATAATTATTTAATGCGCCAATGGGTTCCAGTATGGGTTTGTGCATTTCTAATAGAAAATTAAATTGTTCAGTGATTTTCTTTGGGGATTCAGCTTTATCCTGTTTGACATGAAGCCTCACTATACAAATGTGTGCTACAGAATCTTTTAACTACACTTATGCACTGGAATAGTTGAATGATAAGATTTACCTACTAATCATATTCAATTGGGTTACAAAACCATCTGGGTCTGGTGACTTAAATATTGTCTCTTGATCAACTTCTCCTGTCTCCCATAGTTATTCATTTATTCATGTTTTCCATCTCTCTTGAGATGGTTTTGGTCATCTATACTCTACTAGAGAAATAAATTTTCTTTAACCTCTCAAATATATTACTGTAGACCCCCCCCCCATAGGGCACGTGTGCTCACCAGAAAGAGACAGAGACAGTGAGAGGGAAAGTAAGAAATCACCCTCCAGGGGGAATGGTCAAGCTGCAATCCCTTCTCCATTCTCCTCCTGAGATTTTGGGCATATTTGTCCAGTTGCCTGGTGGGATTTTCAAGCCACTGGGTCCAGGACTGAATTGTGGTTGGTCATGTGGGAGTCTTTAACCACTATGCCACCTGCTGGCCCCTTACTGTAGACCTTTCAAGGTAAATTTAAAATTCATATGGAAAAATAAATCTTCATACATGGCCCCAATTTTTTTATTAAAATAGTTAAGAAGGGCATTGTCAACCCATAAATAATGCAGTGTAATTTTTGACAAAAATAAACAAATATACAGGTGAAAGAGAAGACAGTCCAGAAGAGCCATCATTTATGATCATTTGATGTGGTAAATGTCATATTTGAAGTCAATGAGAAAAGAACACATTTCTTAGTTAAATAATTTAGTGTAAATTGAAGCAAAATACCCTCCTGGAAGCTATACCTCTACTTCACATCATACACAAAAATAATTGTTGTATAGATTAAATTGTTGTACAGTCTACCCTGTAGCACAGTGGTTAAGTGAAGTATAATGAGACCCAGGTCCCACATGGCAGACCATGGTTCAAATCCCAGCCCCAGCAGCTTGAAAGCCATGCTGGGCATGTGTAACTGTGTGCACAATCCCAGTAGGATAAAGAAATGGAGAAGGATTGTGGCACAACTATGCCCTCCTGGAGGGTACTTTCTCTCTCTCTAGCTAAAGCACGCACCCTCTGGCAATTAAAAAAATAATAAACGTTAAAAACTTCAATAACAAAAACATTAGAAGAAAAGCTAAGAGGACTGTGCAGCCTGGAGGTTAAACCCAGACGACATGCTGGACATGGAATGACTGGGACTGACGCCCTGGCTGGAGAAACTTGACGTGGGGAACAGTATCCTGCTCAAAATCACCACGTATACAACAGGAAAGGAGCTCATACAAATTAGCAAAAAAACCATTTCTTTTAGTTTGGAAAAATGGGTAAAGGACATAAACAGAAATTTTCAAAATTAAAACCATAAAGAATATGAACCAATATGGTAGAAATGGTTTGGTTCTCAAAGCAAAACCCTACACGGTTTCCATCTGTTGGTTTAGGAACTTTTAAAAGCCGACAATGCCCAGTGTTGAGTAGAGGATTTGGACCCTGATGAGGTGCTGAGGTTGTGCCCTTCCCCCCAGTTTAGGGCATCCATGCCTGTGTGCTAGTCCAGAGGAAGGGCATATGCCCCACCGTCAAGGTTGACTCAATAGAGCTGCCAAGATCCCAACCATCCTCCTGCACATTTGGAGGTGTCTGGGTCAGGACCTTGGGTGGAGCCAAGGAACTGCAGGCTCTTGGGCAGGTCAACTTCCCCTTTCCTGGACTCAATTCTGGGAATTTGCAAGATAAGAAGGTTCCTTCTAGCCAGACCCTGCCTTCACACTCCAGGGAATTTGCAAAGCTCAGGGTTGTCCAGTGGGAGGGACAGGGAACCCTGGACAGGGCCCCAGGGATGCTAGGCTCTGAACCAGCAGATGGAGTGGTGGAGAGAGGATGCAGCCCCTGACCCCTTCAGAGCAACCAGTGGCCACTCCACCCTCTGGTTCAGGCTGAGCCGTCTGTCTCTCCCCACAGGTGGCAGGGCTATGAGGGCTTTGTGGCCGTTCACCGCCTCCCGACCTTCGGCTGCAGGGATTGGGAGGCCTTCAGCACCGCGGCCGGCTCCTACCTCGTCTACTCCAGTGCCAAGGAGCCCTTGTCCAGGGTGCTACGGCTGAAGACGTACTGAAGCCACTGGCTGGCCCCTGGGGGGGGGGGGGGGAGCCCAGCCCCTCCCACCAGACAGCTTCACCTCTGGGCAGGCAGCAGGCAGGGTCCAGCTGACCCTTGTCCAGGTGGGGACATCTGGCCTCCTCACCACCCCTTCCAAGCCAGGCCTGCCCACCCTGGGCAGGTGGCCTCAGCCTCAGCAATGTAACCTCTGACCACATTGCCAGGAGCTCCATGGCCCATCATGCTGAAGACCAGCCCAGGCGTCCTACAGGGATTTCACCGTAAAGGAAACACCTCTGAAGTTTTACCTCAGCAACTGGCCTTGGGCACACAGCTCACAGTGCTGGCCTGGCAACCAGCTGCGCCTGTCGTGCACCCAGACGCACAGATGAGGCTGTTGCTGTCATGCATCTTTATTGTGCCTATTTATTGTTCTCTGTGCAGAAATATATTTATATTGATCTTACAAGCACAGTGGCTTCTCAGG